CTTTTAGCCGCGGCTCGCGCCCGTCTCTGGAGCTCCTTTAAGCAGCGCTCTTAGTCCCCTCTCCTCGCGCACCAGGAAATAAAGAGGGAAGAAAAAGTCTCTTGCCTCTTCGGCAGGTCCAGACTTTTCCCCGCAAGGACTGTATGTTTCTTGAGAATAGGGATAATGTCATAAAGTCTTTATTTTCTCACTACTTATCACATCACTTGGCACACTATGCATGCTCAATACTTGTTCATTGGGTGGAATTGTGTTTAGTCCTAAGAAGCCAACACTTTGATATTCATGTTTTAGCATTTGTTTTCATCTGTGATATGAGAATGTATAAAAATTCATTCATCTTACATTTTAGTATGCTGTTAGTTTTAATGAAATTACAAATGTGGAAAAGAACAAAAAAAATCAAAGAAATCATTACTTAAGATTCCAATTAACGAGCATTAAAACATGGACTAGTTCACATCTGTTATTCATGAAAAACCTCTTTTCAGGAGATAAAAGTAGATCTCAAATCAAATTATATTATCACCCAGGCAGGTGGTACTATAGCACTGAAGGGAAAAAAAGAAAAATCAGGGAAATTAACCTAAAGACTGTCAGAGAGAGAAAAATATATGAAAAATATTCAAAGTTTATGAAATTAGAACCTTAAATACCAAGTTTGAATTTCCGTAAGTTATGCTCTTATCTTAACTTCCATATGAGGCCAGGAAGGCTACGTGCCCATAACTATGCAGGACAATGTGTGGCATCAATTTGATTTTCTAGCCACCATGGAAACCTACCAGCTGTCACTACATAACCATTAGGTTCAGAAAAATCAAGTATCTGAAGAAAAACATATTTCAAAACTGGGAAATTCCATCTACTTTAGTGACCCTCCATGTCTAAAATACTGCCAATCCTCTCACTTTTCCAGGTGGAGGGGAGACTGTCAGTGATGGTCAGAGCCAGATCTGAAATAATGAGAGCCCTCACCATGCCGCTGTACAAGCTCCAAACTATCAGGATCATAAAACATTACCAGGGTGCTTAAATATCACAGGAAGTATTACTGCTCAAGAAAAAAAAAAAAACAAACATATATAATTGGCAGTATTTTTCCGGAAGAGAATCCTTTGTGAATTAAAAGGCATATATTGTCAAACTAATTGGGAGTAGAGTGAGGCCACTGAGACAAGTTCAAACAATAGACTGTCTGTAAACCACGCCCCCCCAACAGATGATGGGAGCCATTCCCAACAGTTTTTCTTGGTTTTTCTGAATAAGAATACACGAAATTATGACTAGGAGGGAATTACTGTTCATGCCTTTGTCTCCTTACCACTCAGTAAGCAACCATTCTTCTAAGCAAATGTGAAGAAAAAATATTTAAAGACTGTTGAATTGGTGTACTCTTCTGAAAAGTTAACTGAATTTTCACAAATGTCACAGCGTACACTTATATACCTCTGTTTAGAATGGAGGTATTCTTAGTTCTTTCTATTTCATTCTTTCCCCCAAGGTCCTTGCCAAGGGACCTTGTAGGATTTCTTATCTTAGAGGTCCTTAGGCAGAACATAGATCATGCTCTCCTAGTGACGAAACAGTAAACACTAGAACCTCTTAAATGTCTTTCCTAAATTCCCACTCTGGCTCTTATTATTCCATGTTTTAAATGCTCCTCAATTAAAGGCTGAAATATTACTTCACCTATGCTAAAATCCTTTCACTTCTTTATAATTTCACTAAATCCTGTTGTAGTCATGGAATATTTTCTTTTAAAGGTAAGGTTACATCCCAACCTGGATGTCATCTTCCCCTCTTACAAAGAGATCCTGGATGCTACTGAATTAGGCAAATGACATAATTTTCTTGGGTTGAAAACTAAAGACCCGTGGAGTAAATGTAAGCCATCAGTGGTTCACCTAGCTGACCGGGGAACTTCTGAATACAGATTAGGTTGTGTATAAATAATGCTTCTAGGATCTAAAAGTCAACATATATGATCATACAAATGTTCAGCAAAGATTTTGGTAGACCCCAGCTATGCAGTGTGTGTCACTAAAATATTCTTGCCTTTTAAGCACTTCCTAACAGAATTTTCACCTCTGATATTTATTATCTGAGGCTTGTTTTCTTCTCTTTGAAGTTGTCTTTTTCTCTGCAGTTTGCAACACTTTAATAATGTGAAGGGCTCCACTCTAGAGAAGCACTGAAGCAAAGAAGAGCTTCATGGAGCCATACTGCGAGAATTAAAACACATCACATTGACTCAGCCTTCCCTCTCTGCCTTCTCTCTGTCAACTAAAAAAAGTTATGAATAAAAAGGATTAATATGGAAACACATATATACAGGAAGTTTTGAGTTTCCTTTTGTACTTTTACGTGTGAAGAACAAAAATATGTCTATAAAGCTGCTAAAGCTTAGTTCTAACATCATCAGGTTCTCTTCTCTGAGTCATTAAGTTGCTGAAGCCCAGAAAATCAAATTTGGTTTAGGGCTGTTTGATAATGTAGTAACACAGTAAAATGTGATTCCCCAATTAGCTCATGTAATTAGAAAATCAAAAACATGCTCTAAGTGGCTGGTGGACACACATAAGTAAAGTCTATTGTCATTCTTTATTATTTGCTGATGATAGTGTTATGCCTTCAATTAATGATACCATATACAAATTCCTTATGGAAGAGAACCCACAAGCGTCTGTGTTTATAAATCAGATAAATAATTTAATTACTTAGTTCATTCATTCATTCATTCACTTTTTTCCCCCTTCATCATTTCTTTTTTGCCAGCCTCTATTAGGTAATGGGGCTATCTGATCCTTGCCTTCCATAGAGCTCTCAATATGCAAGAACTATATTTAAATTCTTCTAAGGAAGGGACAGTAAACTGAAGTTAGAACATGACAAAAAGTATGGCTTTTTGGTTGAAAATTAGATTTTTCTGGCTGATTTCTAAATGTGAATGATTTTGCCAAGACATATATAAGAAAAAAGAGACCGCCTATTCAAGAATTTTCTTGCTCAGAGGTTTTGTCTGCCTGAGAAGGGCTCTGTGATAGATAAAAATGGGAATTGAATATTTGTTAGATTATTTTAAAGTAGCTCTTCATATATTCTATATTCATGTCTGTTGAAATCTAAGGCATACATTATATGTTGCCTGGCTATATTTAAAATGGTTCTCTCTGTAAGTTTAAATAAATTTAAGGGTTGGTTGGATGGTGAAAATGCTTTCTCACTAGGAATTTCAAACATGTCCTGGTTTGTTCTCTTCTCATTGCCACTGAAGGCATGGCTCTATGGTCCAGGGCTTCCCAACAAATATAACAAGAGGATAATGGGGATAAACTACCTGAGCTTGAACCAATAAAGAAAAGGCATTTCTTATCTGACATGGTCATTCTTAATGCTGTTTTACAGCCAGAAATGTCATATGGTTGTGCTGCCCTTGCCACTGATTTCTTAAGGTCATATTTTAGTGTCTATTCCTGGAAAATTTTAAAGATATTAGGAAATGTTTTCCCTTTGTAACTGTAACATTGCCCCTAGTTGGTTTATTCTTTGTAAACTCACAGTGCACATTTTGTATTGTTTCCTCTCCCCCAAACATCACAAAATTCTAAGGGATGCAATAAGCGTTTTTTTCTAGAATCTCACTCATATTTTAGAATAGCTTGGATTATATTTCATTTGGATGAAAACATACAATCACAAACGTCAATAAAGTGTGGTTTATTCATAGCCAGGATGAAATTTAACCCCCTAATGTTATTTAAAATGCAGCTCTCTCCTCCTCAAAATGTATTTAATATGTCTCTCTATTTTTTTTCCTCTTTACAGGTCAATGGGACAGAAATTGAATATGAGTTTGAAGAAATTACACTGGAGAGGGTAAGTAAAAAACCCAGTAATCCAAAACCCTAATCTTGCATTCCACATTCTGCATCCTAATGGGTTGTCTTGTGAAAATGTGCAATTGTGTCTTATACCCTGGAAATTTCTAACAGCACTCACAATGAGAATATTAATGAAATGCTTGCAGTGGAGGGCATGGAGACAAGCAGACCGAATCACCAGAATGTTCAGTATGTAAACTACATTGCCAGGATTTGGAGAAATGAATAGAAAAGACAAATATTCAGTGAGCTTGTATGATACTCCTTTCCTGTTGTTTTCATTATACATGTGTTTCTGTACATTTTAAGATATATTATAAAATGTTTTCATTTATGTGATATTAATACTATCTTCATAACTACCATTACCATGCATTTTTTAGTTTAAAAAAACAAGTGATGGATTTTAAAACCTCCCCCATAGAGAAAAACATAGCAACCCTGCAGAGCTCTGCCAGTGTGTTGTTAAGACCTTGGCATGGGTTTGACAAATTAGGGAAATTCTGTGTACCATAACCCTAATATATAAAGATATTTTACAGAAGAACAAAAGAAAGGCCAAAGACCGCATAGAAAATAAAATGACTGAAAGGTATTAACAGGGCATTCATCAAAAAAGAAAAGGCCAATAACATCCAAAAACCTGCTCAACCTTATTATTGAACAAAGAAAACAATGGTACTAAACAGTTTTTGTCAACCCCATTGACAAAACATTTAAAAGGAAGGTTAATGTTCACTGCCATTGAGTGGGCCTGGAAATTGGAGTAGCCATGAAAGAGCAGTTTAGAAACATGGATCAAAAGCTTTAAAATGGACACTTTTTGACCCAAGAGTTATACTTATAGAAATACACAAGTCTACAAAGAATGTTCATATGGGTATTGTTTATAATAGTGAAGACTGAAAAAGCCAAGTATTTAATAATACATTATTATATGTCCACATAACAGAAAATTGAGTTATATTAATTGTATTTGAGAAAAATATTTAATTACAAGGATAGGTGGTCCAACCAGACTCTATTATTAAATTAAAAATCAAGTTTAAAAATGACATTTAAATATAATCCAATAAACACAAATAAAGCTATATATGAATAATACACATTCACAACTATTTACATAAAGCCTGGAAGAATATACACCAAAATGTTAAAAGTGGTTAACTCTTCTTAAGGATTTTTGGGTAGTTTTTAGTTACTTCTTTTTGTTTATATTTATTTCCTACACTTTCCATAATAAACATGCAATGCACATATATTGAAAAATAAAAATGTAAGTATTTTTCCTAAGCTATCATTCAAGCATGAACTCAGACTCTAGATCTACATTTACATGTATTTTTCCTTTTCAGTTTACTGATAATTCACTTTCCTGAGTCAGGGAATTTCTCACTTCCAGCATAATTTTTATGTGGCTTTAAAAGGAAATTTGCATTAAAAGTTAAGAGTCTGACAGATGGGTTCTTTAAAACTTCCATTATGAACTTTGATAAAGTTTTAAAGGCATGTTAAATGGAGAAAAGTGAGGTTTGTGGAAAATTAGCCCCAATGAGAAAAGAGAAGACACTTCTCCTTCTAAATTACTAATCTTCTCTCTGGAATTAGCTACATAACTTGTGGGATGCAGTGCAAAATGAAAACATGAGGCCCTTGTTTAAAAACTAGTAAGAATTAAAAGGTGGCAACAGCAGGAGCCTTCTAAATGTAAGACCTTGTTCAACTACACAGGTCTCACGCTTATGAGGCCAACCTCTCTGTCTCTGAACCCCACACATATATACATCTTGATTAAAATGCCATTTAGTTACCCTGGCTTTACAAGGCAGAAATAGTTAGAAGCTAACATAGGTGTGAGGTAGAACATTCTCTAGGAGTCAGACAATTGTGGCTTCTAGTATGTGTTCTGATGCTTACTTGCTTCATGAGACAGCTTGCCATCTCTCTTCCTTTACTTCCTGCCCTAGGGTTCCTGATCACACTCTGAACCTTGTGGTGGCCATTAGCTGTACCCCCTCCAAGACCTCTGTGTCGAGCATCATCTTCTCAGAACACCACCTCCTCTCTGCCCTTAACATTTATTCTACTGCCCCGACTCCAAAAATTCTTCACCCCCATTGGGACCTCAGATTATTGATTTCACCATTTACCTCCTGTTTTCACCCTTCTTTATGCCCTCCCCTACCTCCTCCCCTATAGCATATGTTTCCTGGTCCCATCACTCTAATTCCCCTTCTCGCATGCTCAACATTTTTTTCCCCTCTCTCTTTTTTTGTGTTCATCCAGCAAACTCTCAGCCCTTGTTAATCTACCCTGGTTAGACCTACACCTTCCTACTTACTCCATGCCAGCACCTGTGTAACTGAACATAGCTAGAGAAGCACCTAGTCATCTCACTTTAAATTTATAACTATTGGTTTCAAATGAACGCTCAAAACACCCAAGCAATTCTTATAAATTTCTTTAGAAGAATCATTTTCTCTTTCTCTGGGACAAAAGTTTCATATCTCATTTGCTTCCCTCAAATCTCAAACACTCCCTCCCTCATCCTCACTCTTAACTATTGATCTCTCTTCATATGGCCTTGAGAAACTCCAAGCAATCAAATGAAAACCACCTTACTTTCCTACCGCCAGGTCCACCAGTGTGCTCTCCCCGTTACAATAAAGGAATCTTCCCTGCTGCTTTCCAAGGCCAGCTCTTCACCTGTGACCTGGTCTCCATAACCTCTTATCCATTTAAGGACTTTGCTTCTGGAGTTTTCTCCTCTCTCTTCTCCAATATCAGTTTCTCTCTTGCTTTTTCCCAGATAAATTTAATTTAGACATGATGTAATATCTCTCATCTTAAAGAAAAAGTATGTCCCTTGACCCAATGTTCCCCACCCCCATTATTGCCTCATTACTCTATTTTGCTTAACCAAAAATCTAGGGAAATTGTCTATTTGCATCAACTCCACTTTAGTACCTCCTTTTCTTATTTTAACCTATTTCATGTTTTCATCCTCACAGTAGTCCTAAAACAGTCCCTATCAAAGTCACAGCAGGTCCCATCTTGCTAAATACAAGCATCAGTTCTCAGTCCTAACTGACTTCTCAGCAGCATTTGATGCAGCTGTCGTTGCCTCCTTCCTCAAAGATGTTAATTTCTTAGCTTCCAGAGCAAAACACTCTCCTGTTTATTTACCATGTCTTCAGTGCCCTTTCTCAGTCTCCTCACCGGCTCTTCCTCTAATTGTTGGAACACTCCAGAAACCCAGTACACAGACCTCTTCGTAATCTCTCCTCATTCCCTTGGTGATTTCATCCAGACCCATGGCTTTAAATACCAACTATCAACTTCAGATTTCCAAATCTGAAGTCATGACCTCTTTCTCACGTTCCAAATGTGTACAGCTAGCTGTCCAGCTGGCATCTCTCCTGAACATTAAGAAGATCTTCTAAACTTGATATATTCCTAACAGAATTCATGATTTCCCTGCACTCACTATTCTTAGGGCCAAAGGTGCTTCTACCCTAATATTCGTCATCTTAACTAATTGGCTCTATTATTTTCCTTGTAATTCAGGCCCCCCAAAACAATAATAATATCTAAGAGTCTTGTATAATTACTCTTTTCCCTCAGTATCCAGTACAAGTCCTACTGGTGCTACCATAAAAATATATTTCAAAATCAGTTGCATCTTAGCACCTGCTCTGCTGAATCCTGGTCCAAATCAATATCATCCCATGCCTGAACCACTGCAATAACTTCTACTTCTGCCCATTCTTCTCCACAAAGTAGCCAGAGTGATCTTTTTCAAAATATAAACCAGATCATACCGCTTTTATTCCTAAAACCCTCTGAGAGGTGATAATTACACTCATTATCATCACCTACAAGGCTTTATACAATCTGACCTCTGCTTCTCTCTCCAGTATTATGCCCTGACCATCAACTTCTAGAACATTTCACTTCAGCCATACTGACTTTCTCATCAGTCCTCAAATGCCAAGCTTTTCTCAACTCGAGGCCTTTATATATGGTATTCTATATGCCTGGGAAAGTCTCCTGTCAGCTCTTTATAAGGTTTGCTCATTTCATCGTTTAAATGTCAACTCAAATGTCTCCTTCTCAGAAAAAAATGTTTCCTTTGTACCCCATTTAAAGTAGTGCCAGCTTCCCTATCACACTTTTTTTCCTTTTCATAGCTTTATTCTTTTATAATTGTACTTACTAATATCTGAAATTTATAGTACTTATTATTGTTTGCTTTGTTAACATCTATGCCCCCCCTAAATGTATACTATATATATAGTCAACTCTATATCCAGTTTGCCTAGAACAGTATCTGGAATGTAGTATGCATTCGGTGACTATTTGGTGGATGATTGGATTATGCCTGTGCTCTGCCTCTAAGTACAGTCAAGTAGAGACACATGGCCTATGTTTGACTCCTGTCTCTTATCACTTGCTGGTCAAGTTACTGTGAGTTGAATACTTAACCTTTCTGTGCCTCAGTTTCCACATCTGAAAATGAGGCTAAGGTATTTGTAATCACCTCCCAGGACTCTTGTGAGTATTACATGAGTTAGGATAAAGGTTTAGAACAGCATGCATCATAATTATTCTTAACATTTCCGTTATGCTAATGTGGTAGTTCTCACAAGTGTTATTTATCAGGATCAATGTGGAAGCTTAAAACCTAGCTTCCCAGTGTCAGTGAACAATTTACATTAATCTAACAAGAACTCCTTTCATACCAGCTTTCCCTTTTTTTTTCCTTTTTTCTTCCCCAGTTACTTGGTTAGATGTCAGACATCCAATGATGAAGTTACGGTCTTTGCTGTATGTGTTTTAAATTAAACTCAGAAATTAACTCACTTGTCAAAAATCACAATCTTAGTAAAAATGGAACTAGGATTCAGCCCCATACCCAACAGACATGAAAACCTAAGCTCATTGCCACTAAGTTAAACTGCACCAAATTAAGCTCAAGTGTTTTTTCTCCAAGAA